TTCCACTCTAAAGATCAGTTCATGTATCTGACAGCTATCCTATCATGCTCCTTGTGAGTGGTTCATCACCTCTCTTAGAAGATAAAAGGAAGCCTCATTGTGTTCTGTGTGTTTCTATATTAGCTCACTGTAAGTTTATGTGACTGGAGTACTAAAGGACAGGTGTGATTTTCCACTCTAAAGATCAGTTCATGTATCTGACAGCTATCCTATCATGCTCCTTGTGAGTGGTTCATCACCTCTTAGAAGATAAAAGGAAGCCTCATTGTGTTGTGTTCTGTGTGTTTCTATATTTACGGAATATTAAAGTCAATACCAGTGGTGTCATTATTGCAGGCCCGTTTTGTTTCATAAGTCAATGATCGACTCAACTTTTCATTCTTTTTAATATAATCTCTTTAATTTCTACATTTTTTACAAAATTAAAGCAGATCCAGTGTTTATTATACACCAGGTGAAAAACATTTGTTTTTTTTATGTTTGACAGGGTTTGAAATAAAGACAAAAGACAGTGACAGCGTCTGTAAGGAGATCTTTGACAAATGTCTGTAGGATTTCAAATTCTACTTTGCAAAATATGTCAAATGTCCAGTAGATTCTGGTCTGACAAAACCTCAAAGTACAGCTGAACCTGCTCCACCAAAGTATCACCCACCCTGTATACTGAGTTAATTGGTCCCAATATGTTGAATGTACAGAGAAAGCTGGAATTGTTGTTGGTTTCACAGTAAATCTAACAATATGAAAATGTGGGTCTACACCCTCAGTTAATGTAATAGCAAGAGTATCTGTAAATACACAAACATTCTAACATGTTCATTTATGATAGTATGCACTCAGTTGGCAGTTTATTAGGTACACCTTTTTCTAATGCAGTACAGTTCAACAACACGAACTCCAGCCTCCAAAATGATCACTGTTGAATCAACACGTTTCTAAAACAGTATGAACATTATCACCTTCATGAAGGAGGATTCATTGCAGGGCTTGAGTAAACTATTAGTTTTAACTTGGCGTACCTAATAAACTGACAACTGAGTGTAGGACAGTCAAACAGACTTTATCACCCTATAATCTAAACTCTTTAAAGAGCCCATGGCATGCTTTTCCTTGTTTTTTGACTTCTCTACAATGTTACAACAGTGAATTATCATCTTAAATGTGACTCAACGCTCAAAAAAACGAGGTGTACTTATGTTGTACTTCTACGCAAAGCAACTCTCGCAAAACTCCCCCCCCAAACTATGTCTTACGCAATAGTTCATGGATTCTCCTGGCTGCGTGCATTCGTGTGAGTTTGTCTGCTTGTTCACTGCTGCCATTTTAGAAGTGGAATTTTTCGACTGCATGAGGTTTCGTGGATATATTTGACCTCCTCCTGTGCACAGCAGAACAGTGGTTAGTGCTGTCGCCTCACTGCAAGAAGGTTTGAACCCAGAACCTTCTTGCAATGCGTGGAGTTTGCATGTTCTCCCTGTGTCTGGGTGGGTTCTCTCCAGATACTCCGGTGTCCTCCCACAGTCCAAAGACATGCAGCTTAGGTTGATTGGTGACTAAACTGCTCGTAGGAGTGAGTGTGGGTGTGTGTGGTTGTTTGTCTATGTATCAGCCCTGTGATAGGCTGGCGACCTGTCCACGGTGTACCTTGCCTCTCGCCCAATGGCAGCTGGGATCGGCTCCAGCCCCACTTCAGGAATAAGCAGTTTAGATAATGGATGGATGGATGCTTGCATTGTGACCAGAGGATGTGGAGAAAAATACAGTGCCTGAGGTTACTGAATGTCTGGGAATGTTCCTGTACAGGGACTCACTGTTTCACCTGAACAGGTCTAACCTCCAAGCAGCCGGCCTGTGAAGGCCCTGCGGCGATGAATGATTCCCAGGAGGACAGTACCCGTTTGTTTTGACTGCTTGAGGCCAGTGTGTCTGCTGCAACACTACCTGTTTGTCTGTAACTCAAAGTATTTGCGGAGGAAGACGCAGCAACTGCTGGATGGATTTACCGACCTTGGAGCTACTTGAAAGTGATGTTTCCACTAGTCGGTGGGACTTAATGGTAAGTTTTGTTGTAAGGCTGGTTTTATTGTTCTGAAATAATTACAGACTATTTGGAGTTATGAGCGGTGCCAAGCTAATCTAGAGGCTGGAAATGAGCAGCCATGGGCTCTTTCAAGATAATTTGACCTAAAATATGACACAGAATGGCAGTGTACTATATGTCCACACACTGTAAAGGAATGGGGCCTCCCACCTATATGTGTGTGGGTGTGTGTGTACACCTACACACACACACACACACACACACACACACACACACACACACACACACCCAGTTCCAAGATGCAGCACCAAAATAATGTATGAAGATAACCATTTGTTGGGCTCTGAAATCTCTGTGTATTGTCACTGCGGTAAGTGCCTGTGTGTGCAGTCTGTGATTAAGAGCAGTCTGCACTAACTACGTTAGTCTAAAAATATTACTATCAGTCTTCAAAACCAACCCTCATGCCATTATCAAAATCTCTGAAAAGATCTCCTTGGTTATTTCTTCCTGAAAAAGGTCGCTTTGGAGGAATGGCTTTTCATTGTAAAACCCCAAACAAAATCAAACATCAGGGTTGATTATGTTTTCAGCATATCTTTGGCTCAGGAATTATGCTGAAATATATCCAGGGAGGGACCACACAGAGCCCTTGTAGGAAGGATAAAACAAAAACACACACACCATGTAACGATTCCCATTATGTAAACCTAGTGACTGCTTGGAGGGACTCCTGCAAAAAAATATCTGTCCTCATTTCACCGTTCTGCTGTAAAAATAGTCATATCTGCAGTTATCACACTGGCCATAAACAGTAGTGAATCAATGTATGTACAAGTAAAAATCACTTGGATGGATAGAAATGGACATTAACAGTTGTCTTCTGAATGTTGTCTTAAGCAACTTTAAAGGCACACATGAGACAACACTGAGGAAAAACATACAGAATGACTTTCAATACAAATTCAGAAAGTTCTTAAGATCAACAACTACAAATACAGCGATGATGTAAACTAGTGGTATTTACAAGAATGACCACAAATTGCTCTAAGCTGCTACTACTTCAAAATCTAAAAAAAAAACAGAATGAGAGCTTACTGTATTTAGATAGATACCATGACAACTTTAAATACACACTACAAATCAATAAATTATGCTTAACTTACATTTTAAATTCACACTTCTTTTTTAACTTAGAAGAAAACCAAATTAACACCCCCCACCCACCCCCAACAGACACACAACAAACAAGAAATCGTTGATGCATTTATACTAAGAGCCCATTGCGGTCCTCACAGTTCATAGGGGAAGAAAACCTGCTGCTTGGCAACAACTGGAATAAGATCACATTCATCTGAGTCCTACATAGAGCCTGGTGTCTGAGAAACTGCTGGAAAAGCAACCATGTTGCTTTTCAGTTTGTGCTTAGCCACCCAGAGAGCCCCACACCTGACATTTCCTGGTTGATGGCAGCAGAGATTGGCGTTAATCACCAGACCGTGACTGTGTTTTCACACTATGATCAACATGTTCACAAGGCCAGTCATTTCCCTTGAAACAGATGGCTGGTTGCCACCATGCTGTATTCATGACTAGTGAGTGCAAAATGGAGCTGTTACAAGAATGTGTGAATCTGATGTGGTTATGGAAATCAAACCAAACTGTAAATAACAGACTGTACTTCATTATGTTGATGCAAAAAACAAACAAACAAAAAAGCACTACCCACAAAAAACCACTATCCATATGACCAAGTCTAAACAGAGATAAAAGACAGCAACCTCTGTATTAATGGTAGAAAGTTTAAGCATGTGACTCAGTGCACTATTGAGAGTAGTTTAATGTAATACTGCTTTAAAAATCTACTTGACTTTAAGTTTATGATATTCTGTGTAAACATACAGTATGATCACCTTATAAAATGTGTTATAAAGACTGCCCAATAGTATTCAATGTAGTACATAGCACCAGCTGCAAAATTAAAATGCTGCATACCACTTTATAATTGGATCTATTTTAAAGGCTTTATAAATTCCAAATACTCACTTAATTAGATCATTTATTAAGAGGTTACTGTTACTGTTCTTTTCATAGGACAACCTTTGGGTTGCTAGGTTGCAAACAAGATCCAGTCAGTTGGTGTATCCTCTTTTTTATGGAGCCATCATCAGTATAATCCTCAGTATATTTAGTTGAAAATGCTTCTGTACTTTTACTCAAACTCTGAATGCTGCTTCCTCTGTAGACCCTTCCACTGCGTGACTGGTCAGTGGCAAACCATAATCAAAGTTTTACTTTACAAGCAATATTAATTTCCTGACCAGAAGTGATTGAGTGTGATTTCATGTTTAAAGTTTGTCTTTTATGACATGAATGCAGCACGGGACAGCAAACACAAGGATGGCGGGCATGAACACACCCTGTCAGGAAGGTTCTAGCAGTTACAGTATACAGTGTGATGAGGAATTAGCTTTGCCCTCATATCACAGGAAGGATCACAGCCATGTGCAAACACATCAGTAGAGCGGTCAGGTTATAGATGCAGCCGGTAGTGGCTGCTGTCAGGGAACATTGTGCCATGAAGGCAACCGGTCTACCTTCACACATGGATTAAATGCTGTTTCAGAAACTTTTCCACTGTAACAAGATACACAAATACAATGCAGGGGGGAAAAAAAAAAAAGATAAGACCAGAAAGTTTGGGGGAAATTTTTTTAACACATGTAAGCAAAATATAAGCAATGAGCAGCTTTACTCTCAAATTATCACTATGGTATCAGTACCATGTGATTAAGACAACTTTGATTCAAGCCACAATCAGGCAGCTCCTCAATGCTGGTGCTCACTTGCTGGAGGACAGAAACTTTCCTGTACTCCTTCAGCATAACGTGGGTCACTACCATAGGTCCCCACATAACACTAATGATCAGTCAAATAAGTAAACAACTTATCCACCAACTGAAACAGGCTCTCATCCGTTTTAATAGCCAACAACTGATTCGATCAGTAAAGAAGAAGCTTTTGCCGTCTGTGATCAGGGTTGATGTTTTGTCAATATTCGGTCACTGAGACAGAAGATGAAGGAATCATCTTAGTGTAAGACAAGCCCTGAGATGTTTGTTGCGTTTATGTGTGCAGTTTACCGTTTGACTTCCTGTGCATGTATCACGCAATGGAAGGCCATATAGGCAGAGGATGAGCTTCAGTGTTGAAGACATAGTGGTCTAGGCTGATGAGGTTGGGGTCATCAGAGAAGAGCAGGTACAGATATTTCAGGGTCTCTCCCAGGAAGAAGCTCTCCATCTTGTCTCGGGGGCTCGGGTAGTCTGGGTCACGCACGTTGTTGATGGAGGTATAGCCACCGGAGGAAACCTGAGGGGAAACAGACGTACAGTATTTATCCCCAATCACATAATCCATTCACCTTCGTCTAGAACATAGCACAGGGCCTGTATTTATCAGTCATCACCCACAGGAGTCATGCTGAAAGATCAAGATCAAAGATTCTTATTGTCAATTCACTATATGTGCAGGATATACAGAAAAAACAAAATACCATTTCTCTCTCACCTAATATTGAATGCCATACCATTTAAGAAACTAAAATAGAATAAACTAGAATAAAAAAATTTAATTAAAGTAATTAGGATAAAACCAAACGGTACAAACTAATAGGCTATGAGACTTGGAGAGAGAGGGGCTGCTGCATCCATTCGCACCACCATCCTTAGGATTACCTAACCTAAGCTAACTTAGGACAAAAAAACTCCTACCCCAGAGTTAGACTTAAAAGTTATTTATGAAGTGTCCTACTCTCCCTTTCAGCGCAGAGAAATCCTACTCCTAAGAGCAAGTGTGACATCACTGTCATATGACACACAAATGCAACATTATACTGACGTATTATACTCTGACAGTTGAAGTATGCAGTTACACAAAGTAGAAAATTGAAATGCTGACATCAGTGCCAGTGGTCAAGTGAAGGTTTCATGTGTATAGACAAGAAGTTGGTAACAGAGGATAACAAGTTCATTGAACGCTTTAGTAATGTGCTTTATACCAGTCTTCTTTTTGTAATATGCTGTAAGTTTATTGGAAAGCCATTATTAAAATTATCTTCATCAACCCTATTGTTTCTAATTTTATTCAGGGGAAACATGATTATTTTCAAATAAAAGCTTTAGTTTGCCTTCACCTGACTTGTGTGTCCAGTCACCCACTAAATCCAGTAAATCAAGGATCACGTAGTTCAGAACCGCTTGATTGTCATAAATGTATAAACTCAATTCTATGTTCATTACTGAGGTCATAGTTAAAGGTGGTGTTGTATTGGACTACATTATATTCAGAAGTGTCTGTATTTTTGTCCTCCCCAGCTACATACATGAGAGGGTCAGAATATTAGGAACACCTCTAAATATAACGTAGTCCAGTACAGCACCACCTTTAACTATGAGTGAAACGCTCTGAGCTTTATAAACACAGATGTTAAGGCCAAAGTGTTGCACTGAAATGCATACAATTGTACAGGTGCAACTATTAATGTGCCCAGGAAGTGCATATGTACAACATCTCTCCTCCCACTGAATCTGTGTGCTTGTGTTCGTCTAACTGGTTAGGAGGTGGCTCTGGAGCTCTCTTACGTTTTGGTGGGGATAGGAGTGATTTCTTAACATAGGAATGCTGATAAAATGCTCTCACTTCTACTTCTAAAAGTAGGACCAAAAATGCATCATTCTGAAAATGTTTGGCCAGTTAGGACTGATTTCCTACTCTGAGATACTTTATAAATATGGACCTAGGTTATTTATTAAGCTTAAGCCTAATTACCACATTAAGATGCACATACACACAGCCACAATGTAAGTGATTATTTATTAGTTTATTCCAAAGTCTGCACTCCTAAAGAAGTTAATGCAAAAGAGATACATGCCTGTAATTCTTAAATGTTTCAACTCCCTTAACAAGATAATAAATGTGAACCAGCTTTAAAGGAGGATTATATTATGATACACTGAACTGGACCTGCTGTGAGCCATTAAAAGACAAGAAAAATATGGAGGAGGAGGGTGGGGCCTGCTCTCAGACAGAAACTCCTCTACAACTTTTAAGCTACATTGCAAATTAGGTTGAACAGTTATTATACAGTTAGCTCTAGCTTTTCCACATTCATAAGCTGCAGTAACAAGCACAGATGTGGTCAACTCAAGCAATAGGTTTCACTTTACCTGAGCTCTGTGCTTCCTCCCTGCCTGCTGACGGCCATGTGGAGGATCTGACCTCTGCCCTCAGTCACACACTTCAGAGGCTACACCTAAGGCAGTTTTCTTTATTGTCCTAAAATAGTTATTGTCTTCATTTATTACTGCATTATTCATTTATGACAGGTTGACCAGAAGGTCAAAGAACACTGAAACTGTTGTCAACAGTAAATAATTGTTGTCCAATGGAAACAAAAAGAACTTCTGTACTGTTCTATATGCATAAGCTCACCTGACAATTGACAAACTTGGAAAATGGTGAAACTATCGTTTAACTATTTATAATTAAACTTCTTGTTGGAAGACAGGTAGCTTAAATGTGTATAGGACTGCAAAATAGTTTAAGGTTGGGAGGTGATGCCATTAATGCAATTATTTATTAGCATTTTTAGACACAATTAAGACTTGGTCATATGAAGAGACTCGCACACCAAATGGTCCGATCTTCAGCATCACATCAACGACTCCTGACTTCATTTCTATAGTGTATGCTGACTGTGCCTGGGTAAAATGAGCTAATGGCAACAGGTGTCTCTCAACATTTTCCTATGAGGGACCCCAGAGAGCTGTGCATTAAACAACATGATTTTGTCCTACAGCACCTAAGAGACTGATCCACAGTTGGGATAGATCAGTGGAGAGATATTTTACTGACCTTGGTGTACTTGTTAAAGTTTTGGAGAATCTGCCAACCCCAGTCCCGGTACTTGTGGTCCTTGGTGAACCTGTATAGGTAGAAAAGACTCTCCACCGTCTCTGGTCGCAGGAGATTGTGTCTGTCTGCAAGCTGTCACACAGAATGCAAAGGAGACAGATACATTTAGGCAACGCTCCTACCCAGAATGACAAAAAAATACATTAAATGCTACTGTATCATTAGGATGGAACAGTCTGCAACCCTATTTCAACCTACTGTACCCTACCTTTACATCAATGTCTTGGGTGCTGCCGTGATGCACATTGAAGTGGACAATCTCTGGACTGAGACCTGTCTCCATCTGGACATACATCTGGTAGCAGGTCTCCATGAGCTGTTTGGCCAGATCCATGTGATCAGCAGGCAGGCCGCTGTGAGCACCGAGGGCCAGAGTGCCCGGCAGGAAACACACTAGGTGGTCCTGAGTTAACAAACAGCTGTGTCAACCAATACATTTGAGTCATTCACAATGAATGAAAGATGAGATCTTTTGAATTTAATCTAGGGTTTATAACGTTGCAGTGTCCACCTGGGCCAGCCTGGGTTAACTGATTTTAGAGTAAAATGCGTTAAATAAATGAACCAACACTCAAGACACTTGCAGTGACACCTGTCAGTTAATATACCTGCAGATGATTTTATTACAACTGTATAAAATGCAGCTCAAATGTGCATTGCCACTTCTTGTACCGTAGCTTCATTTGGTTGCTGTGCTTATGTGGAGATTAAGGTGGATGTTTTAATTGGTCAGCAGATTCAATATTTTATGACACTATACAGGTTGAAGCATTATGGGCTAGATTACGCTTCAGATCCCCAAAGAGAACGAAAGCCTCCCTCACAGAACATGACACTGGTTTCCCTTTTCCGCACAGTTGTGACAACAATTACAGTCTCTCAACACCACACACTTTATGAAGGTACGCCCAGACTGTAGCACACTTGGCCAACATTAGGGAACTGAAATCAATTTGCATTTTATAGAAGTTTCACAGCAAGACTAAAAGAGCAGGTGCAGCAGACCAGCAGATTTTGAATATTACTGACCATTTTAGAGCTGAACTGCCCATGAGAGATTTCTCCAACGAAAGTCAGGCCATTAGGAGAAGACTTCTGCAACAGGTTCTTCTTTACACCCTCTATAGCCTGCAGATAGTCCTCCAAGAACCTAAATCACACACACACACACACACACATACAGATTTAATGACACTACAGGAACAACATTTTACATGTACGTTTAAAAATGAATAGGAAATGAATCAAACACAGAGTGACATATTCCACAGGGAGAAGCTGGTAGAGTGAAGAAGTGCAGTTCTTTCATATACCATGAAGATCATCAAATAAAGTAGATGATTTCTTTAAATAATCATTGTGCATGCCAACTAATACAGTGCAGGCCAAAAGCCAAAAAGCGACAGAAAAACTACTTCCATTGAATACTTCAAAGCTGCTTAAGCTTATCCTACACCTTTGGGTGATGTCAGGGGGGACTGCTGTTCCATATGTATCTTTCACCACTCCTACTGACAGTAACCAAAAGCTGCCAGTCAACACTGGTCCATTTTAAATCAGTATCTAGTAGGAATGCATCTAGATCACTGTAGTCATTTTCCAAGCATTTGCCAGTTCCCACCACCTTCTTTCTCAAACTGAGGATGGCCACTATATGTAAACAGACAAAACAACACAAATATAGAAAAATACAGACTGTCTTTTGCAGTTGGATCCTGACCATGTACTTAAATGTGACTGATCATTCAGTCTGGAGCCCTGCTAAAGTTTATTATTAACAATTCCTTGAAATAATGAGCAATTCTTCTTCTTCAGTCTGCTTTGATCTGGCAGACTAAAGAAATTCTTGCACTGAAGAGACTAAAAACATTTAAGACCCATCCAAGACAATTTAATGCTTTTTTTTAAAGACCTTTTATTAATAAAAATGTATTTAACACTTTTTAAGGGCCTGGTGCCACCATAGAAATATGTGAAGGCACCACAAGGAAGGATTTGCAAAACACTCTTGCATTGTAACTATTAAAACTTTAAAATCACCCAAGCTTAACAAAAATCAGTGTGGACATGTTTGATTTTGAGCCATTAGTTATGTTGACCTAAGTCTTTTTGTGTTGATTTCGATAGGTACTCAATTAAAATTGTTTGAAAATGATGAGCCCCTAGAAGGCAAACAGTTAAAATAACATCTCCACTCCACACAAACTGGGAAATGATTGTCAGTTTAAGTTTTAGGCACACAGTACTTACCAGGTTGACTGTGCAAAAGAAATGTAGAAAGCTTCATAGTGTGAAAGTAAAGCCCGACTCACTGGTTCTCCTTCTTGCCTCCCTGGATCCACTGCTTCAGCAGGTATTCATAGTAGCTGTCTGCTCTGGCTCCCAGTGTGTAGATGCCTTGATGGGTGAACTGTCCATTGTTTGTGTTGATGAACATTGGCACAAGACCATCCAGCTTGCCATCCAGTTTATGGACCTGTTTCATAACCTCAGCCACCACAGCCTGGAAAATTGAGGACAGATCAAATGAGTTTCACCTGTCAATTCCAGCCAATATGGGGAGTGTCCCAGTCTATTTAAACACCTAAAAATTATTTATACAAAACACAGCAAAAAATATGCTTGAATAAAGGTATTAAAGGGCTGAAATATGTAGCCATCTTCCATAGCATAGCACAGCATGGTGATTCATCATTGCTGATCAGCATTAAATCATTGTAAGTGCCAATCTTAAAACCTGCTGGGCAGACCCTGGACCAGCACAATTGTATCTCTGGGTCAGTTTGTCACCTCATACTGTGGTTCCTGGGTGAGGCGGCTGAGCTCTCTGAACTCCAGCTGAATGCTTGTAACCTCGGCCACAGTGCTGTCTGAGGTCCAGCGAGGTGAATGGGCTGTACCTTTCCCAATGTTCACATCAGAGAAGGGGATCTTGGATGGTGTGTTGAAAGCTGGCATCAGCCTGGAGCCGATGTCTTTCTGTAGAGGAACAATGCACATCTCAGGGCCAGCCTGTGTCTTTATGGGGCCCTAAGCAAAATTAGATGTGGGGGCACTCCACTGCCTCTTCGCCACCAGTACTAACTATTGCCAATGCTTGATTATTCACACACGTACTGCAAATCTTGTGGCATTAGTAAACCGCTACAATCTAACACACCCATTATCGATTTTATTAACTGAAGCCGTTTGCTTACATCACATCAGTGTCAGTCCAGCATACTTTTACCCTTCTATGCTGTTAATATTGAAAGGCAGCAAGTTCACTCAAACAAGTTCACCACTCTTGTTGCTTTTGGTTTATAAAAAAAGGCAGTAATGAAGAACAACAATCAAATACAATTACAATCAAATAACTTAACTTAAACACTATTTTCCTCAGTAAAGTTTCCTTCTTACATTAAAAAACCCACAAATGTAAAAAGCAGACAATATTAAATATTTTAATGACATAAAATGAATTATTCTTATATTAATATTTGTAGATTTTGGTAAAGATTTATTCTGATGAACACTGGTTTAAGTAATTTAACAAGTTTCATATTTTAATGATTGGCAATTATATATATTTCATAATTTACAACACAATGTTTTGTAATGTATAGATTGGGCAACTATACAAGTCGAGACCCAAATAATAACTACAGAGCTTAATGTTAAATCACAGCACCTAAACAAGCTCTCTGGGGGTCTTCTGTCAGCCACGTGGGCCCTAAGCAGGTGCTTGGTTCGCTTATGCCTTGGGACCGCTGTGGCACATTACATGGTGACATTTACAGCTGAAAAGCTTTAAAAACCACAAGAAAAATGTGTTGGCCATGACTAACTTTAAAATATCATAGGTGGTGTGCTGAAAAAAAAAACTTAGTAGAAGGCATCTGGACATCGTATGTGGAGGGCCATTTCAGACAACACTGATACTGGCTTTGTATAACTGGGCTTTTATTGCAGAAAAACAAACTGTAGTACTTCACCACCTGAAGCCATTCAATGATTAAACTATTATTCAATCAAAAAAAATTTTTATCTGCAACGATTTCCCCATAAGTTTAAATGTTAAATTATTTTTCACATATAAAAGCCCAAAATATGCTACAGGTTCTGTCCTAACCGATGTGAATAATTCCTGTTTCTTTAGTTTTTTTATGACAGTAACTAAAATATCTTTGAATTTCTCACAAACTATTTGAACATGTTACTCAAAAAATAATTGGCAATTAAATTGATGATGAAAAAGTTAAATAGGCCATATGTATTTCCACAGGGGAAAATAAATTGCTTCACTGACACTTTGGACATTGCCAAATATGCTGCAATTCAGAAGGAGATTAATCACAGTATTTTAAAGCCTCTGGAAATAGTACATAGTGAAATCTATCAAAGATCAATGGAAAATTTATTTTCCAGCCCTTTTATCAGCAAAATCAGAAACAGAAGGATGTGGGAACAGGTGTGGTGTAGATATTGCAGGGGCATCGCAATGACAGAGATTTTTCTAAATGAAATAATATTTTTATCTAATACAGTAATAAATGGATACAATAATTTTGTAATCCAAATTAATAATCTGTTTTAATTGATGTTGTATTTGCTTTGTTAATATTCTGAAAGAGTAACAGTTTTCCAGTCCATTTTGATGAAAGAATTTGTACTGAATGGAGAAAAATGCAATGCATACATTTATTTGAGCAAACAGAAGGATCAGAAGATGCTGGAAGCACTTCACATGCTTACTTGTTAAACTTACATGTGTGTCTGTGCAGAAAGCAGCTGTTCCTTACTCAAGTTAAAAAGCCTTTTAACTATTTGATTCTATTTTTCAGTCTGGTGAACATCTACAGCTATCCAAGAGGACAGGGATGCTCAAAACCCAGGTTTTGCTATGTCAGGAAAGTTACTGGCATCTGAAGAACATGGAGAAGGTGTTGCTATCTGCATACTACGGTGTGCTTAACACATGCTTGAATATTTCTTTATGTGGTCTTAATGGTTTGAACTGAGTGCTTGTGCAGACTCACAGCTTTGTCTAGGAATAGAGTGTCCCCAGTCAGATGGTAAGTACTCAGCAACCCTCCCAGGATGCGGATGGTGCTCTCAAACAGGTTGACATCCACATTTTTGTTGAATGTGAGCTCTGTGGCCACCCACGCCTTTGCTTCTTCAAATTCTGCAACACAACATTTTAAGAATAAAGCCAGGATGTGGTGGGTGCTGTGTTCTCCTAGCAAACCCATTCATTTCTATGTGTTGCATGGCACCAGAACGTATCTGCACCGCAACAAGCTAAGCGCATCGCATGGTCGCCATTTTAACTTTAAGAAGTAAAAAAAAAAAGTTCAACGACACCTCGAAGCATCCAATTGAACCTGACAGATGACAAAGAGAATGGAGGAGAAGCTGATTTTGGTGGATCCACACCCTCTTCTTCTTTCCTGCAGCTCATCTCCTCCTCCTTATCAATACAACTAAGCAGCGAGCACAGCGCATACCACATCCTGTCTGAAAACAGGTTAAGCACAGAATGAATCACAACACATTCATCAATATAATCCCAAATGGTTCCATACATTTAACTGGCGTAAGATGACTGAATTAAAACTCAAATCATTGTTATGAAATAGTTTTATTTCTTGTTTTCATTGCTGTCATAATCCTCACTTCAGCCAGAAATGACAGTTTTGCTGTTACACTGGCTCTAACTAGAGCTGCTACTAATAAAATTAGTTAAAACATAGTAGAACCAATTTACAGCACTTAAATGACTATCAGTCATAAACTGCATTTGAAAAACATGTTTGAACAAATATAAAAGTTACTCGAGTCAAAAACAGATCGCAAAAAAAAAAAAAAAAAAAAAAAAAAAAAAAACACCTCTGTGTAATATTAGGTGATTTGTCTCTGAACAGTTTTTTATAGTAAGGACCTGGTCAAGAGGCAGATGCTTAACAGTTGGAAGGCACAAAAGCCAACCTACCTTCTTTAAGGTCCAAAATCCACATGGTATCAAGGGCATCAATAAGGGTCAAACCCAGGCCAAACCACTCGCTGTAGGACTTGGAGATGGGCCTGAGCTCATCATGGCCCCAAGCAAAGTCTTTGTAACCCTTCCATGCGTGTCTGAAAGCTTCCCGCACTGCCTCCAGCCAGCTGGCATCTGGAATACACAGTACGCACAAGATGCCTGTTTATAATCCCATCCACATCTACAGTACAATTCAAAAACAAATGACTGTTTTCTGGGGCTAAAAATGTGCCACTTCTTTAAGTTACAAATATACTCTGAAGTTGTAATTAAATTCCACCAGTCAAGCCTCTTAAAAATTGTGATGCTACTCTTCATAAACAGTGGAGAATTAGAATTACAGCTTTGTGGTTCTATGCCTCCGCCAACGAGCCAAATTCACAGAAATGGGACAGACGTGAGGTCGTAGTGATCTTTGATCATCAAAATCGAATCAGTTCATCCTTCAGTCCAAGTGGACACTCGAGCGTAAATGTGAAGAAAGGTGCTCCTGAGATATCGTGCACAAGAATGGGTTGTATGGATGTATGGACAGACAGACAACCCAAAAACATAATGCTTCCGGCCACAGCTATCGTCGGCGTCGAGGAATATTAAAACAGCAGATACCTGACTCTTTCAATGATATGGCTTCTTGCTTGACAGGTGAATCCTCCTTATTTTCCCCATCTTTGGTGTCTTCTGTTCCCTGGTCAGTGTCAATCACCGCCCCACGCCAGCTGAAAGTGGCCAGGGGATTAAGAAGTGTATACAATAAATATACAAAAAAAAAAATGATGTTTAGTTATGACCACTCTCTGAGACTCACCTAATGACTCCCTCATCCTCAGTTGCCTTGTCCTTGCCCACTGTATCTGAAGTGTTAACTTTCTTCTGAAAACGATTCTGTAAGATGGGTGGTCCTCTCTTTTTGGATAATTTTCTCTGTAGCAAATGGTGACAAACAAGAAACTTTTTTTTTTATCATTTCAGTCTATATTTCGTGTAAGCATCTGGTCTTAAAAGAAAATTAGACCGAGTTGTACTATAAAATACATGTACACACATTCTTAACACAGTATGTTCAATTTCAAAAGCTATATCTACTTAAAACTGACTCCCTCTGTCAACTTTGGTTCAGGGTTTGCCATCCACCATGGCCCGATGGCCCATGACCACAAAACTTTACTGTGTGGGAACCATACATCCCCAGCATGGCAGTGATGGTACGCTAAACACAGAGGCTTTGAAGCACGTGTGGAGTCCTCGGGGGAGCATAAAGTGAACCTTCATGTTGAGGCTTGTGTTGTTTAGAAAATGTGACATCACTGATTATGTTTGAAGCTTCATCTGGACTGCTGGTTCAAGAAGTGCTTCAAAGTTGGTGGCATGTTTGAGCTACAGCTTAAGTCAGAAGTTTGCATACACATGAATTGAAGTCATTAAAACTGATTTATGTCTGGAAGAAAAAGGGGGAGGCTCGCAAGCTGAAGAACACCATCCCAACCATGAAGCACGCGGGCGGCAGCATCATGTTGTGGGGGTGCTTTGTTGCAGGAGGGACTGGGGCACCTCACAAAAGCAGATTTCCAAAGTTGTGGCAAAATGGCTTAAGGACAACAAAGTCAGGGTACCAGAGTGGCCATCACAAAGTCCTGATCATAGTCCAATACAACATTTGTGGGCAGAACTGAAAGAGCGTGTGCGGAGGAGGGCTCCAAACCTTACTCAGTTCCACCACTTCTGTCTGGAGGAATGGGATAAAATTCCAGCAACTTATTGTAAGAAGGTTGCGGAAGGCATCTGCAAGTGTTTGACCCAAATTAAACAATTTAAAGTCAATGCTACGAAATACTAACTGAGCATATGTAAAGTTTTGACCCACTGAGAATATGATGAAAGAAATAAAAGATGAAATAAATCTTTTTCTCTGGGGGGAGGATGGAGACTGCAAAGTTCATGGATTTCTAGTGTTGGAGATCACTGCAGTGTTTGCATTATATTGCCATGGCATCAGCACCAAACAATATCTGTATGACTGTACAATTTAATGTCTTTTGGGTGAAATGTAGCTGAAGTTTCATTTTTTCCCCCCTACTGGACGATACATAAAGCAAAGTAGGCTACCCATCCCTGTGACAGACCTGCAGATAAAAGCTGCAATGACAGTATTGTGGAGACTGTTCTACAGTGAGAGCAGTCATTCCTGCATAACCTTTTTTGTAGTTGCACCCAGTGCAACCTTTGAAAAATGTCAGTTGCACCTTAAAAAAAATGCGACCTACTACTCACAGTCTGGAGTCCTGAAATGGCTGGAAAGTTTCAATGCTTCATTGAGGCTTCATCTTTCACAAAGCTTTGTCAGATGTCTACTGAGAATGAGACCCCATGTCTCAGACCTCCTGCACTTCACCAACCCAAAGTTAAGTTCCCCAAACATTGTGTTTCATTCTCACCTTTTAGTTCAACATGCTATAAAAACAGCAGACAGTAAGGTTACTTGTTGCCAGGTTGCTGCTGTTAAGCTGGGAGCTGCTGAAGTAGGGTTTACTGAGCCTAATCAAGCTTCTAACATAGAAGAACCAGAAACACAAAAGGAAAACTATAAAAAAACAAAAATGTAAGAGCGAACAGAAGCAGGAGTTTAAGTGGCAAGATTATCTAACACATCTAAAGATGTAACATGCTGTGGCATACACATGACTGACGGAGGGACAATGCTGGGAGAGAGTCTGTGTCAGGCACAGGAATGCATGTTGATGAACTGGGATACAGAGAATACACACCATATGTTTTCATAGAACTCATTGTCAATTTAAATATTTATAAAAATACATTCATTCTTCCTATGTATCTTGACAGAGAAGGCTACAGTTGGAAGCAGCTGTTATAGGTTTTCAGCTGCTTTTTGTAATGTCTTCTGTGGACTCTAGGAACCACAAGTTTATATTCTATTGCAGACATGACACAGGCACAATGTTGGGAGGAAGCAAAGGAGACTGTATGAAGCAGAGGCATGGGAGGGCTGCAATAAAGAGGCTGTGAACTAAGAGAATCAATGTATGTTTACAAATGTACTTGAGATTTCAGTTTAAGCAAACAGTCACACTTTCATTATGTTAATGTTTTTTTTCATGTATTGAAGAGTCTCGGTTAAAGAAGGCTATGACTTGCATTAAATTGCTTTTATGCATTGTTTTTACATACACTTACATTTGGGTCACAAAAAATGTACTTTGGACACTAAATTTAGGGGACCGGTGGCCTTTGCTGCTGGTGCTTAAAAATATTAGTGTATATCCTTGCGGTTACTAAATGATTTACACATCTATGACTGTGAATGAATCTGTGTGAGGAAGGTCTTCCTGTAATCAATTTGGAGACAAGAGGGACCTCATAATTATAGCACATCCATGAAAACCACTTTGACTGGTTGAAAGATGTCTATTTAAATACGTAATTAAAACAGCTTAAACGCTTCCTGTCAACACTGCAGATCAGAGCAACTGGGATATCAGACTGCAGGTAACCATGGCAACAACCCTCAACTGTATCTCACTGTATTTTTTTATTTAAAAAGAATAACAACTGCTCAAACATCTAAGTGAGTTAACAATAAGCAACACATTTTTTGATTGGAAGGGGATTTGATTTCATGTAATGGTTTTACAATTGCTTACACATGGAAAGAGAAAACACTTGAGGCATTTGTTTGAAACGCATGACAGTGTTTCCTCTTATAACATTTTTCAGTGGTGCCTCAGTGACTCGCCCGGGAAGCCCGTAAACTACAAGGCACGTCACATTCACAGATGCAGTTAAGGCCAATTCAGACGGAGTGTGTCTTTAGACACTGTTTTCAACAAACAGCACTTCATTCTATCAAATGAAGTGCAGACACATGCTTGCAACTATTGTTGTCCAGCACATTTCTGCTGCTGGTCGGTCTGGTAAACACTGTCTGTCCATCCGGTGTCTTTCCAGCTCATCAGGAGCTGATGACTCACAGCTTCTCTGACGCTGAATGCACCACTCACATCTCGCTTCGTCAGGCTGTGGTTACCTTGTTGACTGAAGCACCAGAGACCACTTTAAAATAACTGTTAAAAACCTGTCCTATATTAATCCTTCTAATTATTAAGTCTTTGTTCACATCCACAGAGAGCTAGAGGGAACGTAGATTAGGGATGGAAGACAGAGCTCAGAGAGTGACAGATGAGGAAAGAGGAGGTAGGACTAAAGTGTTCAGGCAGAGCACCAAACCCCCTGCACCGGGCGGGGGACATTGCTGTCATGCTAAACCTCTTGATCCACAGGAAATGCACAACTACAGATGAGCGACACATTAAAGAAAAAAAAGCAGCATAAAGTGTCTCAGTAAGGTGTCGGGCCATCGCACACCACCAGAGCAGCTCCAGTGACACAAAAGAAACCGATACAGATACCTGGGAGGGTTGTTCTGGAAGAGGTAGTCGGACCTGTTTGATAGGCACAGGAGGGATGATGGGCCTCAGGAGGCTGTTACTGTCTGTGTCTTGCTCAACATCTGTAAGGCCTCAACACACATAGACAGATTTAGTTTGAAAGTATTACTGAAAGCTCCAATGACAGCTTCACAGGAATTTGTCAAACTAATAAATGTCATATACAGTTGTACATAAAATTTTTGTTAGTAACCCCACATTTCAGCAGATATCACAGAATGCAAATATTCTTATTAGCAGCTAAGACTCTTTCTATTCTTTATTGAGAAATTTGCACCCAGTCTTCCTGCAGATCACTTCAAGTCCTGACATACAGTATTTCAAGCTGTGCTGCATACCCAGTATGTTTAAGTTCCCCTCCTAGAGTTTCACTGATGTTCAGTCAGGGATTGTTCCCCCGGCTTCAGCTTGTGTTTCTCCAAGTATTTCACTGTGGATGAAGTCACTGGCTGTCACACAGCTCCATAGCAGGATATTTCCACCCTTTTGCTAAACCGTTGGAGAGCTGTTCTGTTCACCTAATGCCGCTGCTTTTCCCCCAGACACACCAGATCTCAGTTTTAACGTCATCTGTTCACAGCACTTGTTTCCAAAACAACTCTGGCTTATCCAGATGTTACTCTGCAGACCTTCAGACAATGAATTTTGTGGTCAGGCTGCAGGTTAAACTTCCTTCTGATGACCATAGGTGTAGTGCTGCTGGAATGCACCAGAACAACACTTCACCACTTTTTTTTCTCAGAGAGGAAAAAGAATAGACATAATCTGGTTGAAATTCATAACGCTGCATTACTGTGAGCACTTAAACATCCAGTCATCAGTAAAGTGCATGTCCTGCAAAATGAAGTGCTCTAACATTTAAGGTGCGGTGATTGATGCACGATGTCAACTCAAACAGTGCACACTCTGAAGCGCAGTTGGCACCCGTGAGTGTTTGTGTGTTTTGTCCAAACACATAACGTGGACGGTTCACAGTGACACAGTTTGGGGTTGAATACAGACTCTGTTTACAAAAGACAAGTGACAGAACAAATCTCAGATCATCCAGACTGACAAACTAGAGTGTCATCCCTAGGAGGAGCCCAGTGCACAGTTGATGCGCTCCCTGTTGCTGGTTGACATGTAAACCAACATGAAGCAGGAGGAGCTCCGTGAACAACCAGCATGTTTGGGAGTGGATTTAACACTGGAGTGGAGAGCATCTCTCTTCTAATACATTTAGGAGGCAACTGATCACTGGTCAAGACAAATACTGTGGGGGAGGTGGGGGGTGACAAGTGTCCATTTTTCATATTTAGGGTGGAACGTGTCCCCCATGGAGAGTACGCCCTAGTTCTGGCTATAACATTCACCCTGTGACACACACAGAAGATGTGCAAACACAAGAGGTGTGCGCCAGTTGTTCATCAAATAGCACTACACCTCTGCTGTAGACCCTGTTTGGGCATCGACGTCGCACAGTGGAGCAGTGCACCACCATTCCTGGGTCAGCTAGAGACTAGACCTTCCTGCAGCTTCAGCACAGTCATATGGAGGGTTAGTTCTGCCATTCTGCCCAGCAGACATGCAGTTTGATCTGTGCTGCTGTTTTTTCATTTCGACATTTTATCTTGACTTCTGCAGTTTTCCTTACCTGTAATCTCTCAGTGACAATTTGTTGAGTAAACATTTCACACTGGAATGGCTCTGACAGCATGTCAGTGGCTCAGACTTATTACTTGTTTCATGTATAAAAGAGCCTTACCTCTGAGGTGTTCTGTAACAGTCGGATAGGAAGCAATTCCACAAATAAACAGGAGGATGAAGATGAAGAGGATGAGGCTCCGCTGCAGCCTGGACAGCTGCTTCCATTTCTGCGCAAACACACAAAAGAGGGAGATGGAGAATAATGCTAGTTTCTACTCAACTTTATTAGAGATGCACTGATTGCAATTTCCTATTTTGTTAAAGTATGACCTGCTGATTCCAATTTTCTTTCTAAGAACTGTAATTGACAACATTCTGACAAGTGTCCATTTTTCATATTTAGGGTGGAACCTGTCCCCCATGGAGAGTACGCCCTAGTTCTGGCTATAACATTCACCCTGTGACAACTAGCTACTTATTCACTTTGTTATTCTGCCACACCAGAGAATAAAGTCAGCCTAACATTTGATCACATGGGCAATTACAGTAGTCATATAGTCAGAAAAGTGTTTACATGGCCTTTGAAACAAGCCACAGCATAACCGTGCGCATGCACACGCACACAAGAGGTGTGTGCTGGTTCTTCATTAACACAATGGCAATCAGATTAGGTGAAAACATCTATCTGCATTTTCTCTTTTGGTCTCTCTCGGACACATCCTGGGGATGTGATATCATTTATGTTTAATAAATGTAATGACAAATAAACAAAAACTGGAACTTTGAATAACAGCCTCAGAAATGACACTTGAAGAGCGGAAGTATAAATTGTTAGAGTTGATAGTGAACTCTGTACATGTCACCTTGGGCACAATGCCCAACTCTACATAGGAGCACAGATTTAAAAAAAAAAAAAGGATCATGGCCACAGTGTACTTTTCCCACACATATGCTGGCAAGCACCAGCAACCCCAGCCAGCACTGTGTAAAGTAGGACATAAGGAGTGGTTTGCTTATCAGGTCATAGCAGGGTGCGAAACATGAGCAGCCAGAGGATGAGAGAAGAAAAGGAAAGGCCTTTATGAGCAGTTCACAGACAGGTCCAACTTACCCTCCAGCAGGACTGCCTCCTCCACTGCTTATTGTTGTTGTAACCTACACTACCTTGTCCAGCAAAGTTTATGGATACATAATCCTGTCGAGATTGTTGGTGCATGTCTGTAGCTCAGCCCTGTAGAAAGAGACACATTGAAGTGCTCTGTGACTGACAGGAGAAGTGGGTTGAAATGGCAGGTATGTTGTTATTACCCAGCTCCAAGCAAACTACAGGGACAGGGTGCAGCTGACATGAGTCTGGCTGGAAACTGTACAGTACAATTTTGATCTGATTAAAAACTAACATCATATTAAGAGTTGGGTTTCACTCTACACACATTCGGCTATACTGAGAACAACTTACTTGGAGGTGTCCACGGTGGCATAAAGTGCTGTAAACCTTAATTCGCAGCACAGTTAACTTTGAGTAACACACTGAACGCTTATGCTCTTTCATTTCAGTGGACATGTAAGTTAAGCATAGCTAGGCACACACACCACGATACAAGTTTATTCAACAGTAAGTAAGTTAGGATGTATTTATCGATATATCGTTAGCCTATATGCAAACTGGGCATTGATATACATAACTTCCATATGATATGGCTTTAACAAGAGGTACTACATACAAATTAATTTGTTGCATCTACAGAATCACTCTCTTAGGGAAACTTTTGAGTCCGGTAACATTTGCGGCTACATCCCCTCCCAGTCACCAGCTCGTTTTGGCGGACTGACAGCCCAACTGTGGACCGGGGCTGGGCTAGAGGCCTAAAAGCCGAGACGGTGGTAAATAATAGCGCAATTTTAATGTAAAACAAAAGCCTTTTTTAAAGTTTTCCTGACGATTTAAAGGGCGCAGAGAAAATGTGAACTTGTTACTGACATTACCTTGAAAAGTAGTCAGCGTTAGATATGCAGCCACTTTCATCCACCACCAGGTTAACAGCGTTGAAACTGCTGTTTGTTCAACGTTAATTAAATAACTTCGGGGGTCTCTTCATGTTTAAAATACTTCTCAGATACTATTACCTAAAGCTATGTATCCGATAGTCCTCATTATAAAAAATACCTGCTAGTTAAACGTCATCCACTTGTGCCGTTGTCTTAAAACCAATGTGATTCAGATGCACTCATGTTGCCTTCAGTGACTGCTCAACATATCGCAAATACCAGCCCTGCATTATACTTTGGTCACTTATTTATAAAGACAAATACTTTATTTTAGTCATTCTGAATGTTTCCCATTGTGGGCTCCATTCATGATATTCATAAACAGAGGTAGAGAGGAAGTACGTGTTTGTATTGAAAATGACATTTTTACTAACGTATACAACGAGCACACCCCTGTGCAATACAGTTACACTACAATTCAAAACGCTCTCCATTACAGCAACTATTATTTTATATTATGTATAATTAAAAATGGGTTTCCTGTGAGACATTTGACAAAGTTCGGTGTACCTGGGAACGCTGTGTCAGTTTGCCTCGTTCAGAGAACAGTAGTCATGATGTTCCAGCTGCACATTATAGCTGCGTTTCCACTGTCACAACATAACAAGCGATACACCGCATGCTTCCCTTTACCGTTACCCGCCATAACATCACTGTTTGACGCGGACCGTCCTACGCTTTCCAAATATTGGAGGCTGTATGAGCAGCTTATCAAACAGCTGTTGAATAAGCAGAACACGAACTATGCAGCAACTGGAACATCAGGACACTGAAGGTCAAATCCCGAACTTCACACAGAGGAAGTGAAGCCACAGTTATGTGGCTGAGCCGCTGATCAGACTTATTGATAGAGAATCAGTTCATGTTCAGCTGCTGAGACTGATGATCTGGTCAGGTTTAATATGACTCACTCAGACACAAGCTGGTTAGTTCATCTCACTCTAACTGCTCTCTTTCTTCCTACAGGTATGGCTTGTAGAGGGAAGTTAAATCTTCCATAGACAAATCATGTGAGTAGTTAAACAGTATCTCATCTTCATCAAACCATCACCAATAAACTCTGATCTTAAAATGAGCCTGAGCTCATTTCATCCCAACAATCTGTATCAGTGACATTTGTATCTGACCTCTGGAAACCAGCTGCTCTCATGTCTTAAAGAACTACAGGCTGTGTTTG